AGTAATGTATCATTATAGTAATGTATCATTATAGTAATGTATCATTATAGTAATGTATCATTATAGTAATGTATCATTATAGTAATGTATCATTATAGTAATGTATCATTATAGTAATGTATCATTATAGTAATGTATCATTATAGTAATGTATCATTATAGTATTGTAACTTTATGTGCGCTTCTTGTTCATGTTCAAATGTTTATATGAAAGTCTGTCATTGAACAAATACGTTTTCTATACATGTATATATGCGGAACTACCTCAATAACTATGTCACTGTATCACCATATTACTGTCTCACTGTATTACTGTCTCATTGTATTACTGTCTCATTGTATTACTGTCTCACTGTATTACTGTCTCATTGTATTACTGTCTCATTGTATTACTGTCTCACTGTATTACTGTCTCACCGTATTACTGTCTCACCGTATTACTGTCTCACTGTATTACTGTGTAAAAGCGTAACTGTACCACTGTACCGCACACTGTACTTAACACCACCACTGTACCGCACACTGTACTTAACACCACCACTGTACCGCACACTGTACTTAACACCACCACTGTACCGCACACTGTACTTAACACCACCACTGTACCGCACACTGTACTTAACACCACCACTGTACCACACACACTGTACTTAACACCACCACTGTACCACACACACTGTACTTAACACCACCACTGTACCACACACACTCTACTTAACACCACCACTGTACCGTACCAAATAACATTGTTTAGCACCACTACGCCCCGTCGTCAGTGGCGGGAACTAGTCTGGCGCGGGAGCCAATAGGCTGTCAGTATTTTACGCAGGTTGTTAGAGTTTTTTAAGGCCTATTATAAGGCCTCTGAAGCTCACTAGGCTTGTACTAACTATCCAGCAAGTATACTTCAGTCCTGAACACCTTCTAGGATTAATGTCTACTCTTAGAGTATACTGAGATGCAGGGGGGAGGTATACTTTTCAATGTGTATATATATCCCTTTATGAATAGTTTCCTCTAACGAGGCAATTTTCATATGGCAATATTAAAGCGCAGTTGTCATTTTTTTAATTTTTTTTAATCTTTTTACCCTTCACGTATATCGTAATTTCTGTATATTTTTGCTATACTTAATATTTTTTCATACACGTTATATTATTGCAGTTATTATTTATAAGTTAGGTTAGTTTCATTAGGTTGTTGTGATCCTAAAGTGCAATATGTTTGGGATATAATATATGTTTCATATGCCGGTCTTGCCCTCACTTCTACTTAGTGTTTAATGCTGAAATTTCAGGTAACTTTCTTTTATTTTTTTTTTAAGAAATTCATCTGCGAGATTTTTTAAATGACTTTATTGTAAGGTTTTGGTCGTTAGATCGTTATATTTTGGTTGTCAGAATGTTGCCAAAAGGTATTCCATATATATAAGTATTTCCGGTGATTTGACTATCTATAATGTTTTGCTCTTGCAAAGGCAACATTGGCCCCAGACATTTGGGAGACATTTGCCTGAATATTCTTAAGGATTTTTTATTTTCTTTCTTTAATCAATGTACTCTAATTTTATGTAAATTTATAGAATTATCAGACTACAACCACTTATGCATAAAGCTTATGATTCGAATTAATAAAGCCAAACTAATCCAAACTAGTCACCCCTGAAAAATTAGAGAACGTAAGTGAAAACGTATTTAAGAAAACGATTTTGTGGGGATAACTGGTTCAAATGAACGCGAAATCTGACATGAGCAACGGTCACTCAACAATACGAAGCAGGATAACGGTCGGGATATGATTACAGACTAGTTAATTTTGTCGGGGACTGGAATCCAGTCCTTGGTTGGCTAGCTGGTTGGTTGGCTAGTTGGTTGGTTAGCTGGCTGGTTGGCTAGTTGGTTGGTTAGCTGGCTAATTGGCTGGTTAGCTGGCTGGTTGACTTGTTGACTGGCTGGCTGGCTGGCTAGTTGGCTGGCTGTCTGGCTGGCTGGCTAACTGGCTGGCTAGCTGGCTGGCTGGCTGGCTGGCTGCGTAGATGGCTGGTCTGTTGGCTGCTTACCTAGCTGGCTAGTTGGTTAGTTGGCTGGCTAATTGACCGACTGGCTTGTGTAATTACCTCAGTGTAGTTACAGGATGAGAGCTACGCTCGTGGTGTCCCGTCGTACCAGCACTCTTTGTCATACAACGCTTTGAAACTATTGACGGTTTTGGCCTCCACCACCTTCTCACTTAGCTTGTTCCAGCCGTCTACCACTCTGTTTGCAAAATAAAACTTTCAAATATTTTTTTCGACACCTTTGTTTCCTTAGCTTGAATCTGAGTCCTCTTGTTCGTAAAGTTGCTGATTTCAGGAATTCCTCTTTATCAATTTGGTGGATCCTTGTTAGTATTTTGTAAGTGGTAATCATATCACCTCATTTTCTTCTATCTTCTAGTTTTGGCATGTTTAACGTCTCTAATCTTTACTCATAACTCTTTGTGCTTCAGTTCCGGAAGCTATTTTTTATCGTGTCTTTGCACCTTTTCCAGTTTATTGGTGTTTTTCGTGAGATTTGGGCACCATGCAACTGCTGCATATTCCAGTTTTAGTCTCACGAACGTTGTAAGCAGTTTCTTTAGTATTTCACCATCAACTTAACTAAAAGTAAGTCTGAAGGTGAAAAGCTCCTCTCAAAATGTTAATTATGTGTTTCTATGGCGGCAACTAAGTATCCAAAACGATCCATAGGTTTCGTTCTTTATTAGAGTTCAGTAATTCCCCTCTACATAATTTGTAAGTTATGTGTGGTGTATTTTCTCCGATTCCACAATCCAGAACATGGCATTTATTCCCATTGAATTCCATTTGCCACTTGACGCTCCAAGCACCTATTTTATCTAGATCGACTTGAAGGGCATTACAATCGTGTGTATTCACCTAGTTGTGCTTGCAGGGGTTGAGCTCTGGCTCTTCGGATCCACGTCTCAACTGTCAATCATTCAACTTTTTTTCACACACACACACACACACACACATACACACATTCACACATATCCCCAGGATATGTGTGAATGTGAGGAGAGCCCGTAGCAGCTGTCTAACTCCCAGGTACCTATTTACTGCTAGGTGAACAGCAGTGTGTGTGTGTGTGTGTGTGTGTGTGTGTGTGTGTGTGTGTGTGTGTGTGTGTGTGTGTGTGTGTGTGTGTGTGTGTGTGTGTGTGTGTGTGTGTGTGAGTGTGTGTGTGTGTGTGTGTGTATTCACACAGTTGTATTCACCTAGTTGTGTTTCCGGGGGTTGAGCTTTGCTCTTTCGGCCCGCCTCTCAACTGTCAATCAACTGTTTACTAACTACTATTTTTTTCACACCACACACACACACACACACACCAGGAAGCAGCTCCGTAACAGCTGACTAACTCCCAGGTACCTATTTACTGCTAGATAACAGGGACATTCAGGGTGAAAGAAAGTTTGCCCATTTGTTTCTGCCTCGTGCAGGAATCGAACCCGCTCCACAGAATTACGAGTCCTGCGCGCTATCCACCAGGCTACTAGGCCCCCCCCCTGTCTGTGTGTGTGTGTGTGTGTGTGTGTGTGGTTAAAGAGACCCGGTGAATGGTCTGAGAAGGCCAAGCAGTCTTGCGTTTTATTAACTGCTAAACTTTACCTCACCGTCTCCCCCTGGGGTGCAGGCGGGGCCCGTGACACAACTCGACCCTAAAATAACTTTTTAATCATCTGTACACTTTATAATGGAGAACTTTGAACCTCGTATGAACAAGATGGCTAGTGTCAACTTAGTTCCGTCTTGGGGAGGGAGAGTAACTTGTTTTCTAACTTTATTTTGAAGACTTCGAAATATTGATATACGCCATTCATATACATATCTCGTGTTTATTTACACGGTCTAACTTGTTGACATCAAGTATGTTCGGTATATTTGTGTATATTATATATAAAAATATATAATTCGTGTTTCTTGTTTTGTCCGTGTTTCTTTACGGTGGCTTCTTAACAGCTTTCTTCTGTCTTCCTTCTCATATATCACATTATATATGTGTGATGAATATGATGATTTTTTTCCGTTCAAAGCGAATATAGTTGAGTCCTTTGCTTCAGTAACCACATATGCGGTTATATATATGCATATGATATACATATGTATACGTATATGGACATGATATACAAGTATGTATATGTATATGTTTATGATATACAAGCTTTTGCATATCATCATTCGCGGTTTTGAGTCTGGAGACCAAATCACAACGGTTTCTGAGCAATCACAACTATGTTCTAAAGCAAATAACACTGAACACTGCTTCAGGCAAGGCTTCGAACTGTTTCGAATAACAATCAGTATTTTATTACACGGAGAACATGCGGTCTACGGGCCGCGTGTTTGACACCCTTACTTGCCCAAATCATCACTTAAATACAATATCATTCATCTACACTAACTCAGTGTCGACAAGACAATCTGTATGAAATAAAGTTCTCTCCCGTTGTTAAAAAAAAGTTTTCTGTGTATACTTTTACAGAGCTCTAAGGCCTTCCCCTCTCCCCCCGGGTCCAGAAGCCTTGAACGACCAATTATCTAGGAGGCTTGACGAGCTAGGCCACGAGTGATGGGTTCGGCGGTGAACGAACCCTTTGGTCAAAATCCATGTGGTTAGACACCCCTGAGTGAAACTCTGGGTGGTTCATTCATCGACCCGTGTGACATAGATGAGTGAAATTCAGGCTTTTTTTGCACGCGCGAGCTCCCGTGCACGCGCGTGAGCACCCAACGCAACACAGAGACACACAAATCACCCCCAATTTTTTTTATCAACTGTCTTAAAATTATACTACCTATACCTCCCTTTCCTCAATAACCCCCCCCCCTCACCCCTTATCTCTATTTTTTCCTTCCCCTCCCCCCACCTTAACCCACCTTCAACCCCCCCCTTCCCCAACCCCCAACCCCCCTTTCTTTACACACAGGGACCCTGGCAGACAGGAGGGGGCCGCTGAACTCCTCTGTGGTGGCCTGGCCGGAATGGAGAAGGCTTCAGACCCAACTGATTCGCTTCTCTCAGTCGGCGTTGGCACTAGGTGAGAGAACGATGTTGTCTGCGGCGATCTTCCTCACTCTTCTCGCTCTAGGTAAGTCTCACGTCATTCATTCTCCCATTATGTTGTTTACATCTTGAGGTATTACTATTTTTTTCTTCGTTGCAGACTTGTGTAGAGCGAATCTCTACTTTTTTTAGTTTGCTTTTGTGTATTTTTACAAGATACAGGGTCGACAACTTTTGTGGGACGGCACTGTGCCTCTGGTGCCCTTCGGTCAGCGTGTAATGTCAAAGATCGTTTCGTCTCCTCGGTGATTGTCTTAACTGCTCAATACGATATCTTGAGGAGTTTATCAAGGCTCTGTGCATCCTGTAATCGCCAGAGTGTAGCGTGTCTGTGTGTGTCTTTAAGCAACCATATGGTGGACCTCTCCAGATGTGGTGAAAGGGCTGTGTGTGTGTGTGTGTGTGTGTGTGTGTGTGGTGGACCCTTCGGATGGTGATTCGACTTAATTTCATGTTGTATTTCTTGTTGAGAGAACGTGTTCCAAACGCAAGTCATCCGAGGAATGTATTGAGCCCTGAATGAGTGCTGTTCTTAAGTCTGGTACATCAAACACGAGGCTGTGGGTGGCTGAGCGCCTTGTGTTGTAGTCCCTGGCTTCTGGTTGAACACGGAGGTATGCATGCTAGATGGAGCCTTGCCAGCATTGGACTTGTACATGCAAAAACCAATTAGGTTAATATCTCTCCGGTGCTGAGTTCTCTGATGTATTAACCAGTCAAGCCTGAACGGCTGAGGTCTAATAAAAAAAATAAAATAAAAACAGGAAACAGGATGTAGGGCAAGCCATCCTTGGGAGCTGTATATATATATATATATATATATATATATATATATATATATATATATATATATATATATATATATATATATATATATATATATATATATATATATATATATCCTGTTAAGGACAACACTCTTGAGTCTGTTCATAGATATATTCACCCAATTAGCTTTAGAAAAGAGGATGAGTTGCCTAATTTATTGAAGCTTCACCAGTAACCCAATGTGTCGTACCCGGCTACCACAGGTACCTTTGCAACTGCACGGTTGATCTTGTGTTCGTTCAGTGACTATAAGGCCACTTAGAGGGAAGGCATGATAAGATTTCCAAAGAGGAATAGGACCTTTGCTGAAACTATGTTGGCGGGTTCACCACCAGTAGTTCAGATTATAACCTTGAGTTGTAGAATGAGTTGGCATCTGGATTAATGTGAAAGGTGGAGCGTGGAGTATTGTGTGTGTACTTATCTTAGTTGTACTTGCGGGGGGTTGAGCTCTGGCTCTTTGGTCCCGCCTCTCAACTGTCAATCAACTGGTGTGTACAGGTTCCTGAGCCTACTGGGCTCTGTCATATCTACATTTGAAGCTGTGTATGGAGTCTGCCTCCTCCACTTCACTGCCTATTGTGTGTGTGTGTGTGTGTGTGTGTGTGTGTGTGTGTGTGTGTGTGTGTGTGTGTGTGTGTGTGTGCGTGTGTAAAACCAGGAAACCGGTCACAATGATAATTAAATTTACGTTATACTAACGTCTGTCCGTAACTCTGAGGTTTACAGCTAGTTTACAGCCAGTTTACAGCTCCCCGTTACTTGATGTTGTGATGGTACTCGCCTAGTTGTGCTTGCCGGGACGAGTATATAGTTGCCCTTCGACCGCTACACTTCAATACAGTGACTTATTTTTTCCTTTTCACTCGTTTTTCTAATCGTGTCTGCTTATGAAACTTTGTATTTAAATTGACTTCGTCAACTTCCTCATCTGGTCTGTTCCACTTTTTCTCTGTGACTCATTCGTGTGTTCAGTTTTCACTTGTTCTCTCGTTCTATTGTTCCTTAAAGTGAACATTGCTTCCAAATTTATACTTTGACAAATTCTCATAAGTAACTTGTAAGCCATTATCAAGTTATAAATATGTTGTAAAATGTTGTAAAGTCATTTGAGTTTGTGAGTATTATTTTGATGTTAGTTTGCAAATCTGTTGTTAGGCTGTTATTTTCTTAGATTGTTACTCAGGCTCTTAGTTTGTAACTCTGTTAGATTGTTAGTCTGTTCAACTGTTATTTTGTTAGGCAGTTAGTCTGTTGGTCTGTTAGGCTGATTGTATCTGTTAGGCTGTATGGTTTTAGTCTGTTAAATTTGATTGTTAGTCAGACTTAGATTGATAAGTCTCTTAGACTGTTAATCTGTTAGGTTATTAATCTGTAAATCTGTTAGATTATTAATCTGTTAATCTGTTAGGTTATTAATCTGTTAATCTGCTAGATTATTGATCTGTTAGAATATTAATCTGTTATATTATTAATCTGTTAGTCCTTTAGACTGTTAGGCATGCTGCACGTCAGTCTGTTGTTAGTATGGTAGTCTACTAATCGACTGTTGGACTGATATAGTCAGTTAGTCTGTTAAACTGCAAGACTGTTATAACATTAGCTGACAGGCTCGGCAGATTTTGAGGAAAATCAAACCAATATATAATTAGGCAGGAGAAACTTTTCATTATACCTTGGGACCCATTTTTGTTAAATATCAATTTCATGTTGGCATTTGTAAAAAAAAAAAAAATATGCAGGTTGAAAAGTTACTACATATTTTGGTGTCCTTGCTGTCGTCTCCGGTTCAGGGCTGCTGAAAGGGTCAATCCCTTTTCAGTGAAAAGGGTCAATCGATTATGTTCCCCTAATTGTTATTCATCTTTGTTCAGCGTTTAGGGGTTAGATTAATGTGATAATTCAAGAAAAGTTCGAGAAATTAGTTTAGAGAATTGTTCGAGCAAGTAGTTCGAGAATGGTTTGATAACGTGGTTCAAGAATGGTTTGAGAAGGTAGTTCAAGAATGGTTTGATAAGGTAGTTCAAGAATGGTTTGATAAGGTAGTTCAAGAATGGTTTGATAAGGTAGTTCAAGAATAGTTTGATAAGGTAGTTCAATAATGGTTTCATAAGGTATTTCAAGAATGGTTTGAGAAGGTAGTTCAAGAATAGTTTGATAAGGTAGCTTAACAATAGTTTGATGCAGTAGCTCAAGAATAAAATAATAAAAAAAAATAATTCAAGAACAGTTTGATCAATTAAAAACAAAACAAAAATAGTTACAGCATTTTAAGGATAGCTTGATACAGCAGTTCATAATTACCACCAGAATACAGAGCCATGCACAACATACTGTATCGTAAATGTAACTGTAATCACTCGATGACTATCAGCTATAAAGGCTGAATACCCAAATCTTATATATATATATATATATATATATATATATATATATATATATATATATATATATATATATATATATATATATATATATATATAGCTATACTTGACCCAAATAGCGCAGTGCCCACCCCAGTACATAAGTAATGAAGGGCTTTAAACAGTGCTCGGTGGACTATTGCGTAAAATACAGCCTTTGTGTTGAGTTTAGTAAGTCCGTATTTGACTTATGTACTGTAGGACCCTGGCAGCCCCTTTGTTTTGATTATGGGCCGCTTGGCGCTTTCCCTTGGTAATTAAAATCAAAATTTGATTATGGGGGGCTTTTTACCCCTCCCCCCTCCACCCTCGTTGTGTTTTTATGTGTTTTTTTGAACCTCTTCGGGGTCCGAGCTCAATTTTCTTGGGGTTTCATTGTCTCTGTTGTAATGTCACACTTTTTTTTTTATTTTTGTAGGCTTTTTTTTTAATTTTTTCTTTTTCAGTTTTTTTCGTATATTGGCACCCATTTAGTTCCATCTTGGGGCAATTGTTGGTGTGACTTTTTATATATATTTTATCTGCTGTTGTTTCCTAGTAAACTTTTTTTTTTTTGTTCGAGAGACTAAACAAGTTACTTTTGTGTGCTAAGGATGAAGTTGAGAGAATTATGCGTGTGTGAGTGGATTAATTTGTATTCTAATTTATATTTTTATATCCGATCCATTTACCATTGACTAAACACACAGACAAATTACACTTAATACTTTCAGTTAAATTAACAAATTACACACTTGAAATCTTCATTTTCAAAATGTATTATAGCCAATCACAGGCAGGACAACAATGTATTATAGCCAATCACAGGCAGGACAACAATGTATTATAGCCAATCACAGGCAGGAAAACAATCGGTAAGAATTAACAGAATCAAACACACTAAATCAATGACAGGTCAGATCACTGATTGTAGTATGGACCAATCCTAGCCAAGATTATGTCTCATAGACCAATCCTAGCCAAGATCTCATACTGTAGACCAACCGGTGTCATGATGTCGTATTATAGGTCACAAATAGTCATTATCACCTACTGTTGACCAATCATAGGCAGGTTTATACACTGTCGGCCAATTATAGCCAAGTTCAAACGTTGTAGACCAATTAGAACTAAGTTCACACGTTGTGGACCAATCAGAGCTAAGTTTACACGCTGTGCACCAATCAGAGCCTAGTTCACACCCTGTAGACCAATCAGAACCAAGTTCACACCCTGTAGACCAATTAGAACCAAGTTCACACCCTGTAGACCAATCAAAACCAACTTCACACTCTATATCAATTCATCTACTAAGCTAGATTTTCGTGCATGAGAAGCAAGATCCTCATTGCAAACAGCCCACGCCCAAGTCCACTAATCACTAATTACTCACCAGTTGCACGAACAATCGCTCCATATAGACCAGTTACAATGAAATGATCACTGGGTGCCAACCTAGCATAACCCCATTGTTACAAAGGGGGTGAGGCAATTTAGTGAGGCCCAATCAACCATGTTGCATAATCTGAGTACAAAAGAATCTTTAAATACCTTTATAATTACTCAGCTAATTCCAAAGATTTGCAATTCTCCTCCTTAATCAAGTTTGCTTCTGTTTCGTCATTCAACTTAAGTCAACTGAGCACCAGATCCTTTTGTTCGAGAGCATCAATCAACTCGTCTTCTCAACTATTTGGTTGAGTTTTGTAAGTTGTACGTTACAAATGCAACGTTTTCAGAAACGATTTGGCTCTATTAACAAAGTTTGTCTATGGAACAGCTTCGATAGGTTAGG